GTTTACCCAGTTTGCACAGGCCACTGAACTGAAGCTTTGGTAAGTTGCAATAACGTACATGATAAGCGAGTGAGACAGACAAGCGAGTGAGACAGTAAACCAGACCTTCGCGACAATAATATCGAAATCTATAACAAGAAATCTTAGATTGATTAATACTACTCGGATTCCTGTTCTTCGGATGTTTCCTCAATAAATTGACATGTTCTCGCGTTGTGGCCTGTATTCCCGCATACGCCACACCGACGATGAGTCGTCTCAGACCTCACTTTGCGACCACTACTCCGTCGCGTTTCCTCTTGTAGTTGCGTGTCTGCCTCTCTTTGCGACTGTATATCCTCTCCAGTAGATATAGTAAGACTTCCTCCTTTCTGTAGACGTGTTTTCTTAGCCCTTCGACGCCGACTTAATATTGCATTCTCCTCTCGAAGGATTTGAACCTCTGACTCTAGTAATGCTACCCGATGCCCTAGTCCTTCTGTCCCTCTGGCTAGCTTACTCACAGCACTATAAATTGATGCTGGAGAGCTGCTTCGGTGGCGTGAGATTCGACTCTTAATAAAAGTAGACTGTGATCTTGCTTCGCTTGGGTTGCTCGGCGTCCTAGAGATCCAAGGGTCTGGTGTCTGAGGGACCCCCTCCTCAGGCGTTGGCGTTCGGAACTTTACATCCAGCTTTGAGAGAACACTTTCTGCATTCAAAGGGACAAGTCCAGCTCCTCGGAAACCTCCCTGGATATTTTTCCTCGTAAAAGACTGCTTAAAAGCTTCGTGAAATGCTGCAAAGAAATCTTCCTTCGAGATATGGGTTGTGCCTCGCCGCATCTTATTCTCAATTTGCCGACCGTAGGCATTCTTTAACGGCTGAAAACAACCAACATCTAAGGGTTGAAGTAGATGAGACGAGTGAGCCGGCATGCACAGTGTAATAATGTTGTTTTCTTGACAAAAGAGCTCGAAGGCTGCGGAGTGGTGACTTTCATGACCATCAACAACGAGGAGGCGATATTTCCCAGACGTACGTGGTTTTGTATAAATGTCGAAGTGTCTGATCCAGTCAATACCTCTCTCGTTTGTTGTCCATCCATTTTCAGACGTTGCAATAGCCCAATCGCCCGGAAGAGAGGTTTCTGTATACCAGCTTGAGAGGTGATACTGGCCTGCAACGATGATGTATGGCGGGATGCTCTCCCCTTGGGAATTAATAGCCTGGATAACTGTAACCCATTCCCTATTGCCAGGCTGTGTCATCTTCGTATTTGAACGCCTTTCAGCACTTGTAACAACCATTCCAGAAGCAATAACGCCCATCATAAAGCCGGTCTCATCAAAGTTGTAGATATCAGCATCAGCAATACCATACTTCGCAATTGTATTCTTCACAAGCGAAAACCAGCCACGAATCACCTCTGGATCTTCGCATTGAGCTCTCTTATAGTCATACTTGCGAAAGAAACGCGTCCTAAGCTGTGGTTGTCGCTTGACGAAATTAGAAGCCCAGCGCTTCCCAACTGGAGGCGCGTCGCGCTCTGCGAGAAGTCGATTGGCCATTTCTTCCACACCACTCAGCCGGGGAGGAAATGATCGCGCATCTAGGTCGAGAATATACTCAACTATTGTCTTCTCTTCTAAATCTGATAAATTCCGTGAATTAGGCATGCTGTCGCGTCGTGAGACTATTCCCTTTAGTCGCCGGCTTAATGTTGCGTGACTGACTGTATAGAGTGCACCTGCGGCCCGAGCACTAAGTTTTGGGTCATTTCTCATTGCTTGAAGGGCAATTTGTAACCTTCTTTCAATACTAGCTGATTCCATGATTTATTGTAGAGGAAAAGGTGCCGGTCGCGTCAAGGTGCGACGGTCGCGGTTTACTGTCTCACTCGCTTGTCTGTCTCACTCGCTTATCATGTACGTTAGCCTTTTCGCTTCAGCAAATCCGCCGCAAATCCGCCGCATCTCCCCCGCCGCTATTCCGCAGCTTTCCCGCCATTATTCTTGCATTTTTATTCAAGGTGAAATTCCAAAGATATCCGGCACGCCATCGCCTTTCCGAATGATGGGGCGTCTTAAAGGTTTTGCCTCCGGGGCTGTCCGTTGTGTAGCATACTCAACGATAACGCAACCTTGCAGGGGACACGAGGTGCCTCAGTGGAATGTTAGCTTTACTCAGACTTCGCAGAGTACCGCACCAGTTGCGTACCTCAGCAGTGAAAGAATTAAGCGGGCCGTGAAGCGTCATTGGTGGGTCTAACAGCGCGTAAACTGCGGGAAAGCACGGCCACCTCAAGACCCCTAGCTTCGCTTAGTCATTCCAGCTCCACTACAACTTTTGGACAGTTTCGCGACTCCTTTTCACAATTGCCAGCAAACCGATCGCTTCCAGGATCGCGACAAACTCCAGCTCCCAGTCACTCCTTTACCACACACGCTTTATACTGCGAAATTGACCACCGATATCCTCTCAGATACCTGTGCACTGCATCAACCGAAGGAAAAATGACTCGTGCTCAGCAGACTGTCTCCCTGGCGCTCCTCGTGAGCTCTGTACGACCCCTCCTCCCTGCATCCCACTTCCCCCTCAGAGTCCTTACTGACTAACGATTAACCCAGTTGTACCTTGCACTCTATCTCCAGCTCATTCCTGCCCCCGCGAAGGTTCAGGAGCAGATCATTCCCGTCGTATGTTCCCGCCTGCCTCTGCCGAATTTCCATGCGACAGCCGCCGTGCTGCACCTACCCACCCTTACGGCCACATTGCTAACTTCAGCTGCGCGTAGCTTCCCTTCTGGGTCCTTGTGTCTTTCGGCGCATACCTTCTCGCTCGACTCGGATACAATGTCATGACATTCAACGATGTGCCCGAAGCGCACAAGGAGCTTATGGCTGAGATTGACGAGGCCAAGGCCGACCTGCGGAAGCGTGGTGTTGATGTGGACTAAGAGTTGGGTTAATAAAAAGGGACAATGAAGAGCGATTCCATGATTGAAACCAATTGTACGCACGGGACTATGGTGGGAATGGAGTTTTGGACGGCATAGCTCTGGTAACCCAGCTCAATTGACGCACAACTTTCACCTTCGGCATGTTCTTTGTGGCGATGGATTCGTGACTACAAAGAAAAGAGTCTATTCGATGACCATAAATGGAGGTCTTGTTTTCACCTCGGTGGCACAGAATGGCGAAGCGCACAACTAGCGGGTAATACAAGCTTGCAATTCAAGATCTAACCATATGGAAGGCTGCGTAGAGGACGTGTAATTGAAGGGCTGTTATCACCTGCACGTCTACACTCGCAACAGCTAATGAACAGTATCCATCAATGGAGACCGATCCTCCCTCCTACGGGGCTTGGCCATACATCTTTTACCATTTGCATACAGTCGATTGCAAACCACGGATTTCCAGGCAATCTCTCATGAAATCGTCTTCCCGGGTTTTGTCGGCGCGGACAATGCACTATCAATTGTAAGCTGAAAAAACACTAAAAGGGTTAAACATCACTCAACGTACAGCATTGCCTCCTGTTAGTGTATTGTTAGCATCGTCCGTATTCGAGCAGGGTAAACAGAGACTCACTCATATATCCCTGGTCGTGACAAGCCTCGGTGGTCATCCCAACGTCTACCCGAGACTCAAGGGAGCCCTCTCCCTGCCTAGCACAGTAGCATTTCTTGTCTTGAGCCGCCGCGGTTGCTGCGAGAACCGCGCTGATGTATCTGTTAGAAGACCATGATTCGTCAAGAAGCTTATCATGATGGCTTACATCGTAGAAATCAGCTTGAGAGCAGAAACCATGATGATTGACTGTGCTGTGTACTGGTGTATGTGGATAAACGTTCTTTTCCGGATGTTGAAGTCTGAAGCGTTTGTGAATTGGAATTCAAAGGTTAGTGGAGGACAACGTTGACATTTATATGCATCTATATTTCCAGAGGAGTCTAAAGCTCATGACGGCGACTCTCTAGGCGATCCTAGGCTTGAAGCCGGTGGACTTTCCAAATTGGTTTCGTTTGGGCAAAACATCTGGCCAACTAACCCAACAGGCAAAAAAAAAAACCAATTACTTATTTTCCCAGCTTTGACAGTAGACCATGAGTTGGCAGCCAAGAGAAGTCTTTAATTTTCAGGCAACTCAACAAGAGCCTAATTGAAGTGGCAGCCGACGTTCAGACGATGCCAAGCCAGGCTTTATACATTTGACTGTGCCTAGTTCCACTATTCTCTCCAGTTTAGGCAGTTTTTTTTGCGTTGCCAAGCGAGTCATGAAACTATAGTAGAGTATTGCATCTGAAGCCGGGATGAACTGCTGCACTTTCAGCGAAAATTAAATGGGAAGCAGAACGCTTGAACACGTTGTAAATTAGGTTCAGCCGGTAACTCGTGAATTCATGACTCTCCTCAAAAGCCGGCTCAGCTTGATCAGGTGAATTCCAGATATATTAAAGCCAACATCACCGAGGGCTTTAAAGTGACACCGTTTCACAGCCCCATTCGTCTCCATCCACGGCGCCCGTGTTAGAACTTAAACTAAATCACCAAGCCATCACCTGTAATCATCCCCGAAGCGTTGACCAGTGCATTAGGGGCTGAAATGGCATTCTTTTTAATGATATGCTACAGGAGGTTCTGGCCATCGTTTTCTCTGGGAGATCAGCGCACTTGATGCTGAATTGCTGAGTTTCGAATGGTGGCATATTTAGGCTTGCAGTAGGCTAAACCACCAACCCCTTTGCCAAAAACGAGCTCCTGGACACTAACCAGTTATCTTTTCGACCACGGCAAGACTAAACCGACACACAAGCAGAATTTCACGCACATCTCGTTGAGTGCGGCTGTACATCATTTTGCCAAGGCCAGAAATTGCACTTTAATAGACACTTTCCCACGATAGGTACTCCAGACGGTAACGTCCCGCACCCACATTTGGGCACCCCCCACATTTGGGCACCCCAAAAATCATGATGCATTTCACTATACATCAACTTCAGCCATTGATTATATTTAATCTATTGCCACAACAATACTATTTCCCTCAAGAGTAGGTAAATCAGACTTGCTGGATTCATCTGAGCTATCCTCAATTTCGCCCGCTTCAATTTGAGCCTTCCGAATAGCTTCAATGTTGGCAAACTTCGAATTTGGGCTCGTTGTGACCTTCTTCCGCTTCCTAGCCCTAGATGCCTCAACTTCTGCTTCCAGCGCCTCAATCTTTCGCTGAGCTACAGCCAGTTTATAGCTCTGTTCATCAAATCCCTTTTGAACCTTGCGAAAGAGCAGTCGTTGAGTATTTCGATCATGCCCAACCTTGTTGTATAAGTTGAATTGATCCTGTAGCTCAGACCGCTTCGTTGGCGTTGACCAGCATACTGCTGATGTCTCTGATGCCCATTTTTCGCCTGCTATAGCATTAGACAGTCCCTTGTAAGGCTGATCGGTCTGTCTAGCTGGTGTTGATGGGTTCCCAAGTAGAAGAGGGCTCATCGGCGGTTTGGCTATGCTTACAGGCCATAGACCTGTATATTTCCAACCGCTGATGATGTTCTTGCTTGTGAATGCTATATGGCGTGCTTTTCCATAGCAGAGGAGAAAGTTTCTCTTGCCTATAACAGTGCTAGCGTCCCATTGATCCAGGTATAGAAGCTCTTTCTTATATATGGCTTTCAGCGGCCCAAATACTGACTGATCAAGCGGCTGAAGAACGTGGGATGTATGTGGCGGTAGGAAGAGTAAGAGTATCTTATTCTTAAAGCAGATATACATGAATTCTGTTGTTTCATGGCTACCATGCCCATCAAGAATGAGTAATCTAGACTCTTTAGGGTCTTGGGGTTGGGTCAATGGTATGAAGACCTTCTGTAGCCATTCAACAGCAGTAGAATCCGACGTCCAGCCATTTTCTGTTGCTGTAAACTTCCAGCCATCATATTCAGTTAAATCGAGAGGAAACCACTGCTGTTGAACAGTCTTCCCCTTATATATCACAAGTGGAGGCAGTGCCTTGCCAGTTGCAGAGATACACTCAATCAGAGATGTCCAAGCCCGAGACCCAGGCTGTTTCTTTCGAATAGAGCGAGTTTCTGATGATCCAAGAACTAATCCATTTGATCCTCTGCCTTCTAGAATACCTGTTTCATCCATATTGTATCGATTGCTTGCTTTGATTGCCTGTATCTCAGGTAGAGCGAGATGCTTAAACCATTCCCTGATTACATTAGTTGAGGCACCATTGACACGCTGGGAATCAATTGCTCTGCTTCTCTGAACCTTGATTGATGGATTTCTCTTGATAAATGATTGAACCCAGTTTCTTCCGAGAGGCTGGAAGTCTCTACGTGTCTGTAGAATCCTCTCAGCAAAATCCTTGAGCTGTTGATGGGTTGGTGGAAGGCCTAGGGCAGCTTGTATTCGAATCCATTCAGCCAAGTGACTTTCCTGGGTTGGTGATAGCCTCTGTAACCCAGCGAAAGCAACACCTCTTGTTTGGTGACCTCTTATTCTGTTTTGTAGTGTAGTTCGTGGTATGCCCTTATCATGAGCTGCTTTTTTTATACTGCAGCCGCTGGTAACAGCCTCAAGTGCCTTGAGCAAGTCATCTTCGGTATATTGGCGCATATAGGTATAAATAATAAGCATATGAAGTTGGATTGTAATTAGTGAAAAGTTGAAAAAGTGGTAAATAATTGAAGTTGAGGGGTAGTCATGGTGTTGAGCGATTTTTGGGGTGCCCAAATGTGGGGGGTGCCCAAATGTGGGTGCGGGACGTTATGTGAGCAAACGTAATTTACCAATGTATTCTCTATTGTTGTACAGTATTATGCTGCATCAAATGGAAATATACATACTTCTAAAACACGCACAATCTGAAGAGAGTAAGGAGCACGATATACATCAACATACGATTTGATAAGACTACTGAACCTAAGAGTCCTTATTCCGCCCTTGGCAAAAGTTATATCCAGCCACTCGATGGGATATATTGACCAATCTTTTAACGTTAAACACTACCAGGTTGATCCTGCAACAGTTGCGAGAATGCACATATGGCGTCTCGGCAAGTCTGATGAGCTGTATTTAAAGTGTTCAGATGGTGGCCGGAAAACAATTGACGGCAAAGTGCGGGGAAAATGTGTAGGTAAACCTTGGTCCTGATGTGATGCAATGCCGCATACAGTGTATAATACATCTCCCGATTATCCGCTGAGATAGGACTTCGCATTTGAGGGGTTGCTCTGATACGTGCGTCACTGCAATCCATAAGTGGGGGTCAGGTTACG